AGGTGGGAGGATCGCTTGAGCCCAGGTGGTTGAGGTTGTAGTGAACTGTGATTGCACCACTGCACTCCAGCCGGGGCAACAGAGTGAGACTGTCTCAAATAAATAAATAAAACAAAATAAAATAAAGTAAAACTTTTTACAAAAGAGTAAGGAATATGTGGAAAGGGCAAGGCATAGGAAGTAGGTAATGGGGACAGGAGCAGAGAATAGGAAGAAGTAGGGAGCAAGAAGCAGGAAAAACAAGGGGCAGGCGGAACACAAGGGGAGCGCCTGTGGCTGCAGAGTCCCTGAGGGACTGACTCAGGCCCTATCGCATCCTTTCTAGAAAGTCAGGAGGCGCTCTGGGCTCCTCCTGAGCCCCTTCCAGGGATGCCTCTGCTCTAGCAGAGTGCAGATTTCTATCCCTCAAAGGGCCTGGAGGACAGAGGCCATGCCCGAGGACCAAGTGGCATGACCATGTGTCCTTGGCTAGGACGTACTATGATCCCCAAGTCTCAAGACTCAGAACACTATGGACTGGGGATGGGAATTTTGCCTGTAGCGGGCTGAAGTTGGGAACATGGTATTGTGGAGCCCAGGGGTTCTTCGTAGGGGAAGATACTGAGGGATGGGGACTTTTTGTTCCAGGGTGGTGCAGAGGGAGACCTGAGGTGAGGAGTCACAGGGTGGGGACAGGTTGGCTGGCCTGCCATTAGGAATCCTAAAGGGAACCTGTCCTCATGGTGTCGCGCAGTTGTTGTAGGTGGATGTGTAGATGGATCTAACCGTTGCTCTTATTATCAGGCGCCTGGGCCACAGGTTCGAGACTCCACTGGGATTTGGATTGTCTGTGAGAAAGAGAGAGGACACTGGGACTGAGGAGCGTTTATGGCGTAAAGGCTGGGTTTAGGATCTTAGTATCGCATCAGGAGCTTTTGGGCCTCAGAGACCTACCCCATTCTTTCAGGCAGAGCCGAGGTCAGGAGCTTGCATTTTGGTGGGAAGCCGGTGTCGAGGAAGATGGACATTAAATTATAGTACTAATCATACATTATTTCCATGTACATATTATGCCTAATACCAAACATTATTTGCAATATTTTAAGTAATCACTAGTAAAGTTAAAAATTATAGTTATCATAACTACTCTAGTAACTAGTAAACGCAAATTACTGCTCCCTAGCACTGTTCCAATCCACTTCACATATACAACCTCATTTAATAGACATTGTCTCTCAGTTCAGCCTTCCTTTTTATCCTGTCTTACAGATGCAGGAACTGAAGCTCAGAGAGGTAATATGATTGATTCAAGGACACAGGCTAAGACACTTGGCAGGGGCAGGATTTGAATGCAGACATCTGGTTCCAGGGTTCCTGCTTTTTTTTTTTTTTTTTTTGGGGTGATCGAAGCTCTGTTGCCCAGGCTAGAGTGGTCGTGATCTCAGCTCACTGCAGCTCACACCTCCTGGGTTCACACCCATTCTCCTGCCTCAGCCTCCTGCGTGCTAGGACTGAGTGCCCGCCACCACATCCCGCTGTTTTTTTTTTTTTTTTGTATTTTTAGTAGAGATGGAGTTTCACCTTGTTAGCCAGGATGGTCTCGATCTCCTGACCTTGTGATCACCAATCTTGGCCTCCCAAAGTGCTGGGATTACAGGCGTGAGCCACCGTGCCTGGCCTTTTTTCTTTCTTTCTTTTTTTTTTTTTTTTTTTTGAGACAGAGTCCTCTATCCCCAAGGGCTGGAGTGCAGTACGCATGATCTCAGCTCACCTTCCGCCTCCTGGGTTCAAGCAATTCTTGTGCCTCAGCCTCCCAGGTAACTGGGACCACAGGCATGTGCCACCACAGCCGGCTAATTTTATATATTACGGAGAGATGACCATGTTGGCCAGGCTGGGCTTGAACTCCCCAGCCTCGCGATCTGCCCGCCTCGGCCCCTCCCAAAGTACTGAAGTATTACAGGCATCAGCCACTGTTCAGGCCTATTTCCTGTGTTTTGACCCCCAAAAATATCAAGGGCAAAGACACCCCGTAAACATCCTCCAGCACACAGAAGCCTCTGAAGATTCTGGGCCAGGACTGTGGCGCCATGTTTAAGGAGAAGGACTGAGGCTCAGGTGGGAAGGACAGCCTGGGCTTACTGAGCTGAGTCCATGCCCATGCCACACACATGGCTGCTTGAGCCCCTACAAGCCTCTCCAGCTGTCTGCAAGTCTCTCCCAAACAGAGATCCACCCACAGACACCCCAGATGCTGGGGATGAAGGATGCTCATTTGACCCATTTTAATAGATGTTCTACAAGAGCAATGAGAGATATAATGAGCCCCAGGCTACGGATCCTGCCAGGAGCTCATGCCAGGTCTCTGGGGAAGTCACCTCGTCTGCTCTTCTAGACTCTGTGTCCCTTGAGGGCGCAGTCCTCCTATCCATGCTGCATTGCACTTGGCGAAGGGCTGTGCAAGGCAGACAGGTCGCCAGAACAACCTCCACCACTGGTTCCATCCAGCCCTGCTACTTCTGCCTTCCCCTCAGGGCTTGGAAGAGGTGAGGACTTAGGAAATGGGGCCTGAGGCTAGGGAGCAGCAAGAGTGCAGGTAGCTGACACTAAGTTTGGTGAATTGCCAGGGCTGTCAGACTCTTGCAGGCAGCTGAGGAACATTGACAAGGTCTGAGGGATGAACCAGGGCCGGGCCTTCCCTTACAGTTGTGCCCATCAGCAAAGGCTGCTAGTTAGCCCCCCTTCGGTAGACAAGGTTCAGACCCTCAGGCGTAGCCAAGGTGTGAGTGTTGATACAGAAATTGTTGCTGCGTGCACGCATTCCTGCTCAAGTGGCTAAGTACTGTGTGTTCAAAATCTGCCCATTCCCATCTAGGACATAATTTGGGCCGTCGGGTAACCTCCCAGGAGTATAAAGGTTCTGGGACAGGACCACAGAAGATCAGAGGCTGTCGGCAGTAACCTAGGATTACCCTGGAGACCTGGGTTTGTATTAGTAAGAGCAGTGGGTACTGTGATGAGAGGAATTTGGGAGTCCTTTTCTTTGAAGAGATATTGGGGCCCTTTTCAAGCAGGTTCAGGTCAGGAGGACACAGGTGCTCCATTGAATGTTTGCACCAGTCTGGAATTCTAGTTCCCAAGGGCCTCACTTAGTCAAGACCTTTGGAGTATGAGAGGCAGGAGCAAGACCTGGACCCACATGGGAGTAGGAAGGCCTCGGAGAAGAGTATTTGGAGAGGTCTCTCACTCCAGTTTTTCTAGAGGAAGGATGATCCAGAAGGTGAGGTCGACTCTGAGACCTAGTTTGGGTGAGGGGACAGTTGGGACAGAGGAGGTGTGCAGAGGTGTGGGCCAGCATATCTGGCTGGTCTTGATTTTGAACCCTACCTGCATTTCATTGCTGTCAGTATTTCCTTCCAAGTTGGTTAGAGTGGGGAGAAGTAGGGAGGAGGAGGAGCAGAGCTTGGCAGGATTTTAGCTCTTACCTTCTCTCCATCACCTCTCCTCTGCCCAAACAGCCCCTTCCAAGGGAATGTCCTGCAGCCTTGGCGCTGGGAGCCGGGGTCACCCCCTTCTTCCCAAGTCCCCAGCTGAGTTGCTGTGGGACTCTGGGTGCCTGGGTCACACCAGGCTCATGAAGCACAAAACCTGAGGTTGGGGCAGTAACACCACTGCATGTTTGGATGGGCATCCTCATAGTTCAACATCAGGATTATGCTTGAGCAATGAGGCATTTGCCAATTGGTAGGGCATTTGTCAATGACTTTATCAAGCTGCTTGGAATGTAAGCGAATGAGGAATTCCCAATAAAGCGTGATGTTCCGCTGTAGGAGAATTTATAACTAGAAAGCCCTGGGCAAGTAGCAATTAGAGTAGTATAGGAAAATATTTTAAAGTATTTATTGACTGGAGAAATTATTCCAAGTTAAGTTGATAATGCAGGTTCAGTAATGAAAAATTACTGCTGTTGCAGATCATCAGTGCTAATGCCAATGTGAGAATTACTACCAGTACGTCAGAATTTAAAGTGAAATATAAAAACCCAACATTTGGCATCCCTCATCCCCACTGGTCCCAGGAGTGCTCCACACAGATCATCAACAGCATGGGTTGTTCCCAGGCACTACTGCGGAAACAGTGGCTGCTGATGTAACTCTTTATTTCATTATCGAAGAAAGATGGAGTAGAACAGGTGGACACTCGCGGGGCTTGCTTCCACTCGGCGGGATTCAGGCTATCCGGGTCATGAGCTGTGGAGTGCACAGCCTGGCTCCCGAGGCAGGCAGGCAGGTAGCGGGCCTGGAAGCCCTTTCAGAGCCTTGGAGGCTAGTCCGTCCACAAGCAATGAAGTGCCACTCTGCAGTTTGCAGGGATGGATAAACAGAAACACCTGGAAGGAGGAGGGAGACATCTCAGGGTTTCTCCTGCCTCCCCCATGGAGCAGAACTTCCTCTCCTCAGCTTTCAGCACTGAGCCGCTCGGGGCACCGCTCTCACCCCACCTAAAAATGCCATACCCAGGTTCTTCCCTCCCATTGAGGAAATGTCACTGGTCCTGCAAATAACAGTAAGCCAGTAAATCAGTGTCTCGGAATGGTGGCTGGGAATAGGCCTAGAGGGTCAGTCAGGCAGTCACCTGAGGTGCTGAGACAGGGAAAAACAGCTTGTGTGAGGCCCCACCAGTTTGGCCAGCCTAAGGAGTTTAAGCACAGGAATAGCCAGTGGGGCTCCGAGATAGTCACTGGGCTCCAGAGGCCATCAGGAGCCATCCGAGGGCAGGCTTGGACTAGCCAGAGGAGGTCAATGTAACACCCTCTGAGTGTCTGAATAGAGTCCAGGAGCACCACAGAGGCTTAACAAGCAGATGTGCTGAGGAAGGGTCAGTGGGATTAGGGAACAGCACTTTGGGTTCTTGGAGAACATTCCACCAAGACAGAAACAATCCCAGGGCTCAGGAGACGGAGAGTGGGATTACAGAATAGCTAACAAGGGAGAGTTAGAGGACCGGGGACAGGTGATCACGGTGTGGGCCTAGGGGGCAAGGGAGCAGCCAGAATTTGCTGAGGCAGTCTGGGCTTGGGAAATAGCAAGAGAGATCGAGGACAGCCCTTAAGGTTTACAAAGACAGCCAGGGCTGAAATAGCCAGAGGAGCAAGAAACAAGCCCACGATTTGGGGAAGGGCCCGGAAAGGGATCTCGTTGGAGGTCAAGTCCAGGTACTCACTGCCATTCCTCACAGCCAACAGTGTAGGTCTTGGTGAGCCCGGCGCTGAGCTAAGCTCAGACTGTTCCAGGGGAGCCCACAGAGCTGCCGGGTGGTGATGTGCAGAGTCCGTCCTGCAGTTTTCCTAAGGAAGAAAGCAGGGGTAACCGACAAACAGCTTGTGATTGGCTGAGCCGCCAGGCTGGCAAGGCCCGGCCTTCTGATAGGCTGAGAGGATTAGGATGGTACCCATTTCCAGTGGAATCATTCCCATCAGGCCTGCGCCCCCTCTCGCGTTGCTAGGCCACGCGCCCAGGGAGACTGGTTGGCTAGCTGGGCGCGCAAGGGGCGGAGTGCCTCACCAGCAGCTGAGAAACTCCTCGCTGCGGTTCTGGGACCTGTGGAAGTATCCGCAGACACTCTCCATCGGCGGGTGGCAAGCAGGCCGGATGTGTGGCATCCCTAAGACCTGGAACCCTTTATACATCTGTTGATGGATGAAGTGTCTCTTTTACTGACATAATCCTCCCTCCAGGTTCTTCCTGAAGTCACACATCTGTGATCACAGCCAACTTTCTTTGCCAACCAGTGGCCAGAAGTTTCTGTTTGACCAGGAGGAAGATGTTCAAAATGCTGGGGAGAGGCGGGAGCAGGATGCCTTGGTCATCTTGATCTCATAACGCTGGTATAAGGTGGTCTGGTTGACTACAGGTGTCCCCGAACTTAGCCCTGATGACTGCAGGAGAGGAGGAAATATGGAGTCAAATGGACTGCATGCGCCAATAAAAATAAGATCATCATCATCATAATACCAACAGCGTGCATACATAAATGAGGATTATTGGATGCCAGACAGCACACTAAGTGATTTACATTTGTTTATTGATTCATCTGTATATTTGAGTGTCTCTCTTACTTAGGCACTGCTTAAGCCATTTTCATATATTCATTTTGTTCATCTACTCTCAAATGTTTGAGTACCCAGACATTCCCACTGGCCATGCTATGTTCAGTATTTGGGCCAATCTCTCTCTCTCCCAGACTGCAAGATCCCATTGCAGTGGTTCCTGTACCCATCACCATTGTCCTGAATATGGTCTTCCTTACTGTGCTATAACAACTATCACCGAATATTTTTCTCTTTAACGAAATCAGGAGGTACTAAGAGGCAGGGGTTAAGGTACTAAACAAGATGGCCAGGGAAGGCCATCCTGAAAATCAAACATTTAGGCAGCCACCCATGTGGATACCTGGGGGGAAAGTGTACCAGGCAGAGGGAGCAGCCAGCACACAGGTCCTGTGGTGGGCTTGGGCATGGAGTACTCAAGGAAGTGTGAGATGCCAAGTGTGGCTAAAGCAGAGGAAGAGCAGGGGTGAGTGGAATCATTCTAGAGTAGTGCCATCATAGGCCCCACACCGGACTGAGAGGGAAACCAAGGCAGAGTGTGTGGGCTGAGTGGGGTGAGGACTCACGAGGTCGGAATTAACAGAAGGCCGTCTGTGGGTGGGGTGGGACACAGGTGCAGGCCTGTGGGCTATCAGCCACAGCAACAACAGGATACCGGGCAGGGGCTCAAAGGGGCCATGGTGGGTTCTGTGGGGAAGAGGGATGTCAGGCAGGCCCCAGCCCAGCTGATCTGCTGACCTGGGCAGTCATCCACCCCATCCTGCCCCGGAGGCAGCCTATGGCGAAGTTAAGGGACTAGATTTAGGCTTCAGGGTAGGAAGCTTAGGGATTTGAAGTTAGAGCCCAGAGGTGGGGTTAGAGAGTTGGAAAGTTTAAATTATTGAGGGACTGAGTTGCGGGGCTATGGAGCTGTGGCACTTGGGGAGAAGGGGGCTAAGGGAAGTTTGAGGAATGGGGGGATTGAGGGGAATTCTGGAGGTTGAGGAGTTTGGGGTGAATTTGGGATTGAGGCTGGAGGGATTTGGAGGAGGCAGAGTTGGGGTTGTGTATATTAAGTGATATAGGGGGCTGGGGGGAATTTAGGAGGTTAGAGGTGTGGAGGGGTTGGGGATTTAGGGAGCTGGGGGAGTCTGGAGGTTGAAGGGTTAGAGAATTTGGGGGCTTAAGGCAATGGCGATACTTGAGAATCTGAGGGCAAAGAGAGTTTGAGGGCTAGGAGCTGGAAACTGGGGATTGGGGAGACAGGGGAGTTTAGGAAGCTGCAGGGGTTAGCGGTGGGTAGGATTTAGGCGATGAGAAAGTGCTGGATGAAGGGATTTGCGGGGGATTTGGAAAGCATTTGTGATATTAGGGGTCATGGGTTTGGGAGCTGGGGACGGATGTCAGGGGAGTTCTAGGAGTTTGGAGCCTCGGGGTTGGGAAAGCGGTTCCAGCCTCCGACCCTCTTCCCCCTAGACAGCCCAGGGTCCTGGTACCGCAGAGGCCCAGAAGCTGAGTAGACAGGCATCTGGCACGAGGTACACAGGCCTGGTGGCTGCTTGCGCTGCAGCCCCGGCCCGCTCCTCCCTGCCAGAGCCATCCGGGCCTGCCCTCGTGTCTCTCTGGGCACTGGATCACGGCGATGGCGGCAGGGCCCTGACGCTAGAGGATAAATGTCCACGCTGGGGCGAGGTGGCAGCGGAGTGCAGGCCTGACCTCCGGAAGCGCCTGGATCATTACTCATCCACCACCATCAGTGCAGAAGCCAAGGGGCGGGCCGACGAAGGAGATACCCTCCTCCTCTCCCTTTTTTGCCTCTCTCCTCTCCTGGGCTCCTTGAGCAGGCTCCCCTCCCCTCCACGTCAGTCCTCTTCCTTACAGGCGCCTCGTGGAGGCTTAGAGGCCACCATTCCCCCAGCCAGTCCTAAGTCTCACAGAATCTCAGTCACCCATACCAAGCTCCCTGTAAGCCGACCAGTTCAGTTCCTTTTCAGCATTGTTGTGCATCTACTGTGTAAGCACAAAATCACTGTTTTGTGTATCTACAGCATGTGTGAGGGTACTTAAGAGAGAAACAAATTAAATGGCAGCAGTAGAGGAGATAAGGCAGGTGAATGGGGAGGAACACAAAATGGGAAACTGAGGCATGGAGTGGTTAAGTGACATAGAGCTCACAGAGTCAGTACATGGCAGAACTGAGACTGGAACTCAGGTGGCCAAAGACAAATAAAGTCTCAAAAACACAGGCTGTTAGCGGCATTTATATACTTTGACTATATACCAGGCACTCAGCATAGTTGTCATTCAGAGCTCCACAACAAATCTGAGATGGGCTGCCAGTTAGTATTCCCATTTTACAGATGAGAAATGGAGTATGGGAACTAAATTTCCCAAGATCACAGGACATGTGGTTCGAACTGGGGCTACCTGGCACAGGATTATATCCAAGAGTACTTCCATCCTATGAAACGAGAGATAGATGCAGATGCATGAGATGTGACATTGAGAGGGTGGCCATGAATGAAGAGGTGAAGAAACGAAGTGGTGGTCAATGAAAACTAATCCCACCCCATCTGCCTGCCCCTTCCCCGGACCTATACCCTGGTGGCGCGTTGGGGTGGGGCAATCCTTGCCCACCAGCTTTTTGACGGTACGGGTCACCTGGGTTCCACAGTTAACACAGCAATTCGAGGAGGATAGATCAACAATATGTGGTACTTAGTGATCATGGCAGCTTGGTAGGCACTTTCTGTATACTATATGTCTTTAAAGTGTTTATAAATTATCTCATTCACTGTACTCCCTTGCTAATTAAGTTTGATTAACTCAGGGATGTTAGCCTAATAACAAGAACACAGCAAAACTGCCAGCAGCCCCCTTAAGAATTAGCCTGCGTATCAGCACTGTTCTGGGTGGGAGGAAGGTGAAAGAGACTAAGAAATTTGCCTAATGGGTACAGTAGCCTACTATTTGGTTAAATAGGACACTAAAGCCCAGACTTCACCTATGTAATATATATGTGTCCCACAAAGCTGCAACTGTACCTCTAAATCTAATTTTTTTTTTTTTTTTTGGGCGAAGTCTCGGCTCATCACCCAGGCTGGAGTGCAGTGTGATCGATCGCTCACTGCAACCTCCGCCTCCAGGATCAGAGATTCTCTCTCTCAGCCTCCTAAATAGCTGGGATTACAGCCACACCACACCACCCAAGCTAATTTTGCCGTTTTAGTGAGCGAGGTTTTTCACCATGTCAGGTCAGCTGATCTTGGGCTCTGACCTCAGGTGATCACGCCTCCCAACACCAAATGTTGGATTGACATCATTTGCACCCTTCTAAATCTTTTTTTTTTTTTTTTTTTTGAGACAGATTTTGATCTTGTTGCCCAGGCACAGTCACATTAGCAGATCTCGCTCACTGCAACCTCCACCTCCTGGGTTCAAGGCATTTCAAACAATTCCTCCTGCCTCGGCTATAATGTAGCTGGGATTACAGGCACGCCACTCGCCTGGCTAATTTTTGTATTTCAGTAGAGACAGGGTTTCACCATGTTGGCCAGGCTGGTCTCGAACTCCTGGCCTCGGGTGATCCGCCCACCTCAGCCTCCCAAAGTGCTGGGATTACAGGGCGTGAGCCACCACATCAGCCTAAATCCATGTTTAAAGCACTTGGCATGAACATGGTGGCTCACACCTGTAATCCCAGCACTTTGGGAGGCTGAAGGCAGGCAGATACGGCAGGCTCAGAAATTCAAGACCAGTCTGGGCAACGTGTTGAAATCCTGTATCTATTTAAAAAAAAGAAAAAAAAACACTGTTCTAAAGTCTTTTACAGACATTATCTCCTTCTTAGTCAATCCCGTTGCCTCTTTGTTCATTAATGTTAGTTAAAGGAAGAGAGATGTTAAGTCAATAATAACAACAGTACCCAACGCTTCATGCGAGGATGGGAAGCACTATATGCTCGATGCCATGTAGAAACATTTTCCCAATTAATAACTTTGCTTCTCACAATATCTGAGTTAGATGGCCTCATGTTCTCATTATACAGATGGGAGAGCTTGAGACACGAGGCTGGGTAAACCTGCCCAGGAATGAGAATGAAGAAATGGCTCTGTTAGCAGGGGAGTTAGGGGGAGACAAAAACAGGGGAGGAAGGGAAGTAAACCAAACAAATCTGTAGGAGCTGATTGTGAAAGTGGGACAGTGAGAGTGAATTGAGGCGGGCTGAGTAACCTGGTGCCTCCGAGGGGAGAAGTGAGGGCAGGAAGTGTCACTGCCTTGGCCCTCACTGACTCTGGTTCTATCCAACTCTTGCAAACCTGAATCAGCACAGAGTTTTGCCGACTGTTTACATGAGGAATCGTGTGGATCTGATTAACTGCAGTTTTGGGATGCAGTGGGAAGGGTGTTCATGGAGGGGTGTGTGACCATGTGGGAAGCTGGATGGGTGTGGGGGACCATGGGGGTTCAGGGGGCATGTGCAAACTGGACACCTGACAATGCCCACAGCATACCAGGTGCTTGGGTCTCATTGTGCTCTTTGTGCAGATGGGGAAACTGAGGCTCAGAGGAAGCTTAGGAAGAGGAAGGTAGGAATTCAGACCTAGGAGCTTTCCAGGAGCTCCCAAAGTCAGGATTCAAAGCCTCTACCGCACATGTCTTGTAGGCACACACATATGAGAAACATTTGCTCAGGTTCAAGTCAGAGAGAAACCAGACAGTCAAGGAAAAGAGGCACCTAGAAACCTCCCAGGGTTGTTAGAGGTATGGGTGTGTGCGCACGGCTCTGTTGTGTTGTGTGTCCATTGCTAAGAGTCGGCGTGTGCCTGTGTGTTTTGTGTGTTGCTTCTGGGGTTATCTGCCAGCCTGCGGCAAGCAGTCTGAGTTTGCATATCTGTAACTATAATTACATTGCTTCTGCATGGCACTGTCTGCCGCGCCTGAGTGTGTCCATCCGCCTCAGCATCATTTCCCTGGCCTGCTGCTGCAGAGATGCCCCAAACCCCGTCAACAACGTGCCTCTCAGCCCACCTCATAGTAGCGCAGTCATTTGGAAATGAGGAAGGGTTGCAGAGAGGAGGCCCTGAGAGATTCAATCAGGTCACCCTGAGTCTGC